TAATCAATATTTTTTTTATTATTAACTGCTAAAATTAGTGTAAAACAAAAATCGTTTTTCACACTTTTAGCACTTATTTTTCTTTTTTATCAATTTTTTTCAGTTATTCTATTTATAATGATAAATTGAAAATGTTTATAGATGAATTAGTTTTAAATGCTGCACATAAATGTAGAAATAAAAACCGAAGACAGAATTATATTACTCGACAAAAAAATTTTTTTAGCAGGAATTGTACACACATATATATCAGAATAATAGATTGACATCGAAGAATAAGGTATAATAATTTGAGCTGTCATTTATAAGTATGAGAAACTGTATGACAGAAGCTGATTACAGTGATTTTACTATTAACTGCCTGTTAGTTGGCTAAGCCGCTGTAATTTACGAGCAGTTTCCTTTTTCAATCTTTTTAAACAGAAATAACAGCTTTGATTGATCAAATATGCTTCAAATGCTTCAAATGCTTTGATGCTTCAAATCAAATTAAGTTGCTTTTCAATAAAATGCACAAAAAATTCCTCTTTTTTTTTCAATCTTTATTAATAGGCTTAATAAACTTTGACTTCATTACTACTCTAAGATAGCTGCCTCAGTTATGTGCATCAGAATAATTGTTAAACGGTTAAGCGAAAATAATAGTTGATGTTGGGTTGAAATACTATTTTACAATGACTGCTTTTGATAACTGCATAAAAAGTAAAGTTACTTTATAGCTGAACATTTCGTAGATTTTTTTTCGTCTTTATTTTTTTGTTTTTTTTTTTTTCAGATTTTACTGCACATTTGGTTAAAAATCAAATTCGGACAAAATTTTAATGATAAAATCAAAAAATATCTAATACAGTTTTTGCTCAGTCAAAAAAACCACACGTATTTTGTGGCATAATTTCGATACTTATATTATCACTGATGCTTATTTATTGAAATATCTATAATTTTTGCCTTTCTTTTTTTTTTCTAGAACACTTAGTAACTGCTTGTTGATTTCTTCAGATAAACTGACTTGAAATTCATTAAGAGAATCTCCTGTTTATTGTAGCTATTCGACTAAAAATATCAAAACGTAATATGAAAAAGTGATGACATAAGCTTAAAATACAGTTTGCCTCGTTTTTGAGGTTTCTTTAAGACTATCAAGGTTACCACCTTATTTATACATAAACTGTACTTTTCTTTTCGCTTTATGAACTATTCTGATAAAAATCTTACTGATAGAAAGGATTACAGCCAGTTTTAGATGTCACTCTATCATCTTCTTCTAGCAGCGCTACTCAAGAGAAAACAGAATAGTGGATCAAACCAATATATGACCATTATAATCAGCAGATGACCCTAAAGATAATACTGTCTAAAATTTGCTCTTTTTCAATAGTATACTCGTCAGCGATAGTCATTTATTATATCAGCTCAAGACTATAATAGTTTTCTTGCTGCAGTTCTCTATTTTTTCAAAATTTGAATTAGAATTTTTCTTATTCTATCTTTGGTGAATTAATTACCTTTCATTTTCGTTGTTTGTTGAAAAGATTTTTAGTGAATATCTAAAGTTATCATTTACTGAGCAAGCAACTGGACAGTATAATAATGATAATTACTTTTTTTGTGATAGTTAACCTTTTGACCACTAGCGTTTTCATTTTTACTGTTTTCGATTATGCCAAAATGTTCGGAAATTTTGACAAAAATCTGGAGAAAGTTATGTACACAAAATAGCAATAGAAATACTGCTGCCGCTCATATAAAAAATCGCCTTTATCACCCTTAATTTTGGCATTGTTTTGACACTGTAAACGTAAAAAAGTTCAACACATCTATCAACTGTTTCTCAGTTTTTATGTCTAGATGTTTCCAAAAAATTTGAAGCTATTTTGACAGTTAAACAATTAGTCTTTTGTCAGCTAAAAGTTAAGCTCATAAGATTTATTCAACAATGTTCACAATAATAGCATAGTTACTGTCTTTTAATAAACAATTTCTGAGTATAACCTAAAATGTTAATTTACAATCATAAATTAACTATTGACAATTTTTGTTTGTTTTATATGTAAATTACTTTTTGATCTCTTAACGAAACTGCTTCGTTGTTGCTGTAAAAGAAACAAAACTTGTTTCTTGTTAGTGCTACAAAATA